TACTGCATTGTTGTGGCTGTGCTCCAAACTCTCTTTTGGGATTGACAGAAATAAACTGAATGTATCCCAATAAATCCACGCTCTGTTGTTTACTGTAGACTAAAACATGAATTTCCGTCTCTCCGCTGACAGATTTAATGAGCGTAATGAAGTTTCTGTCTTTTGGCATAAATATGCAGCCTGGCATTGTCAGATGTTGGGGTGGTGGTAGCCTCATTTATAGAGAGCTTCTCCTAATTAAATGCAGTGACAGATACTGACACACACATAGAGAGAGAAAGAGGAATGGTTAAGTCGAACTGCATTGTTCTCCTGCAGCCCTTCTGCCTCAGTTGGTTAAACAGCTGCCAGGGCTGGGCCGGCGTGCCGCAGCAGGGAGGGGAGGAGGGCGGGATCCAGCAGGAGTTCAACAATCTGATGCCGTTTCCTCCATCGCTGAGTGGTAGGGGGCAGCATTATTGTGTCTGGATGGGGGCTGGGGTCCTGAATAGGCAGCTGTATTCACATTGTGAGCGGGTCTTTCACCTTCAGTTCCTTACGGAGCCCTTAAAACTGAGACTTAAGCCTTTCTGAAAAGACCTTATTCACTTTGAGTGCCTATAAAACTGTATTCTGCCAGATTCCAACCCCCCCTCTTCTTCTTTGAGAATAAAGTATGACTTATTGGAGGGTACACTAAATACACACGATTCCATTCAGTTGTTATATACCTTCATAGGCTGGATTTCTCTGTACTATTCCACACCGACGTGGTGCATTATGGTCAGAAGAATGAATGTCAAAGGTAAAAAATGCTGTGACCCATATAATAAAAAAGGTAGATTAAAACAAACAAGGTTGGATTAAATAATATACTAGACTTTATATTTTAGAATATGAGAACTACTTGCTTTGAAGAGTGCAGCTGCTGAAACACTGTAACAGTCTTTAGTTAAAATAGTCAAACACACTCTTTCTCTAGCTGTAGTGTAAATGTTCACATTTCTGCAGAGCCGCTCACCATTTGGCAAGACGACAGATTTCAAGAGGCACATTGGAAAGGGTAAAAAGAAAAGAAAATCTATCCATCGATCTGTCCCTCTGCAAGTCTATATGTAACTTTCCTCCCCCTTTCTAATGCCCCAGTTGACCCCTTGACCTTTCCTTTTCTTCAGTTTTCACCAACACCTGTTTTCATTCCCTCGTTCATCCAGCTCCCCCTTTCATCTCCCATCTGCCACTGAAGCTGCTGCAGGGCCGAGTGTGGAAAGGTAGGACTGGAGGAAGCCAGAGCTGCTGCTCAGCGTGGACGGGTTTAGATAATTATCATGATTTCTTTTGTGCCCTAACAAAAGCAAAATTATGCATCTGCTGCAAAGCCAAAGAGTTCACTTCATCGCGGCCGTTGTTTCGGGAAGGATTTGAGACTTGATCGGAGACACAGATTTCTTCCTTCCATATATTAAAGCAATTTTTAAAATTTTCTTTAAAACCATATAAAAGGTTTATAGTCATAAACTGGATCTGTGAAGTTATACAAAGAAAATAACAGGTTGCACCCATTAAAAGGAAGTCGGGCTGTTTTTTATCTGCTTCCCTTTTTTTGATCAAACTCACAGAGTGATCAGATTTGTTTCTAGAAGAACTTCGAAGACAGTCACCGTCATATTAACCTGTTTAGCCTGCATGTCCCCAGGACTTAATTTACCAGTATTATGAACACTACCATGGACACACAACCTGCAGAGGAGGGAACAAGTGTCAGTAAATGCTAGCCGCTGCAGTATTATTGCTGTTGTACTCTGTGGAAGTGTGAACGTGTTAGAAAGATGAATATGAATAAGATGTTATTAATAAAAAGAACAAGAATAAAATAAATGATCAGAGAGAAATTATAGAATATAAGAGAAGAGAGTCTACTCCTGTGTGATATTACGTCAGTATCAAATTATTCCAAATTAAATCACCTACTAGTAACTCCATATTATGGGTGAAAGATTTGGTTTTACCATTGCAGTTGCACCCAGGTCCCTAGCATTCTCCTCTGTCACACCAACCATCTGCATACCCTCCTGTATTACATCTATGAACCCACTCTGTGGTCTTCCTGCTTGGCAGCTCCATATTCAACATCCTTTGTCCAA